AGATAACTGATAGAGATATTTCAGTACAAATTCAAAACTGCATTTTGTCCCATTTATAAGATGACACATTTTTTCAGTGCAAGCACTTAACCCAGTTGGATCTAGCAACCTAAACATTTCCTTATTTAATTTCTGAAAGGAAACTAAGTATAACCAACTTCGCTACATAGCACTTTTTATATTCTCAATCAGCTTTCGCACATTTTCTCACTTTCAGGAAAGACTGTGACCAATTTTAAATAATTTGAAAATCTTCCTCATCAGTGTTATATTTATAAACCAATGTATATCTTAAAATATTCCAAATACATGCATTCTACAAAAAGCACAAGGATAAGTTTATCCACATATTTTAGTGTAAATTTATCATGAGTTAAAGGAAAACATTAATGGTGATAAAATATAATAGATATTTAAATATTCAACAATGTAGCTATGTTTATATCCAAAATTATGATATATCACAAATATGAGCATCCAAAAAGGAGCATATAAGTAACAAATATACAATTTTAATGAAAAATTATACTTTCCCTTGGTTATTGACATGGCCTTGCTTAAAAAGATTTGGTGATTAGGCATAGGAAACTGAAATAAAGCTATGATAATATAAAAATAACAACTTCATCTAATACTTCTTATAAAAATTAGACCTCATTGCTAATGACACTAATTAATTATTCAGCTTTCACATCACTTCATTACAGTACACTAGTCACACATAAATTAGTAAACATTGATTCGTAAACTAAATTTCCTAAATCAAAATCAAAGTTTGACTGGCTGAAATGTAATTTAGCATAGTATGTCAAAAGCATGGACTCTGAGGGAATTAGACTTCCTGGCTTAAATATAGGTTTTGCCACTTACTCTAATGGCAATTTTTTGCGAGTTACTGACTTTTGTGTCTCAATTTCCTCATCTAATCTACAAAAGGGGAATAACAGGATCTACCTTACCGGGTTGTGTGAAGGTTAAATGAAATGGTATATGGGAGAACTCAGGCAGTGCCTGGTACACATTATGCTCTATACAAGCATTCACTATTATCAGTATTATTAAAGCATCTCTGAAGTTGTAATATATTGTTAGCACTATTTACCTTTTAAGAATATTTCTCCAATTTCCTAAAAAACTTAAATGCACCAGGGAAACAATATTTGAAGGAACCCTGTGTCAGCTGAATAAAGATCTATTACTAATACATATGTTTACATATTAGGTCTCTTTAAAGTCAGATTAATGTGAGGCTAGAACTGGGAACATGATTCTTTCACAGCTCCTAACTTCAAAATGCTAAATAATAGCCAAATGATGCCATTTCACATAGACAACTATGCCCTCATCTAATGCAGCAATGAATGAATAGTTGTTGCTATGTGCCCCAAAAGCTCCCAGGAAAAGAAGCAAATCTCACTGAAAAAATTGTTTTCAGTTTTGGACATACTAAGTTTGAGGTGCTCATAGAATACTTAAGAGGTGTTCCGGGAAGAAGTCAGAAGTACAGACCTCAGGAAGATTACTCTCAGAACTCTTTGTACTACCATGAAATTAATTTTTCACATCCTATTACACGACAGTTATGTGTCTCCACAAACCTTCTCTATCGCTACACTATTTTGAGGGCATCTAGGTCCTGCCATATAAGGGATCAATAAATGCTGATTTTTAAAAATGCAAAACTTGCAGAACTATACAGTTAAGAAAGTGAATTTTATCATATACTAAAAAAACTGATTAAAACAATTTCTTTTCAATCTGTGAATTTTAAATAAGGATGAAATTTTCATTTGGAAGAATTCTTACAAAATATAAGATGTAAACACAAAATCATTTTTTAATTTAGTCACATGAGAATTACTAAATGCTACCAAGCAGTAAAACCTGGAATCATCACCAGGCCAAAAACGTGAAAAAGTACAGTAAAATAAAGAAGAGAAAGCTCAATGAAGAACTCCTTGATATGCATTTAAATTACCAAAATTCTTAAGTTTATTAAAATACCTTCAATGTGGATTGAAGAGATTTCACTTCGTAATTTACAGACTACTTGAGTTCAATAACTTAAAAATGAAAAGCCTCTGGACTCTCCCAGCACACATTATTCAAAGAGCTGTGTTAAAAAGCATGTAGCAAATGTGCTGAGTTATATGCACTAGGTAAGGGAAAGCTGTGTCATCCCCAACGCACCAGCAACTGTCTGTCTGCTAATCCTTTAGTTTAAAATGTGTAGAAACACCTTCTAAAGAATGCTTCACTGTACTATTTACAACCCAAACTTAAAATATGGTCCTTGATGGAACGGACCATATAGTAGTACAGACCAGCTGCCAGCTCTATATTTAATAGCAGATCATGACAATTTTGTTTGTGCTTGACAACTAGACACCTTTCAGTGAAACTATTCCCTGGAAATGACACTACAATATTGTTAGTTATTTAGAGGGCAGGGAGCCAAGAGAAAAAGCGCTCATTAATGGTGAATGGGTGGGAAAGACAGTAACAGTAGAGGATTAAAAAATGGTAATACAATATACACAGGGTTAATAGGACTGTGAAATGGGGGTGGGGGGATATACAGAATGGAATTTCTATAACACAAAATAAACATGAAGATTTAAGTCTGCACTTCACATTTGAAATAAGCAAGAATAAATGTATATTGCTTCTTATATAATCAAAAGCCTGAAACCCTTATACTGATAGAAAATATTGGTAAATTTAAAAGGATTCCCCCAATTTGGGCCCTTTTTTCCTGTTCTATGAAGCAATTCATAAGGGGAAAAAAATAACTTCAGACTATAAATGATGAATGTAACTACTAGGAGTGGTCTCTCTAAGAGGTCTGAAATAGAAGGAAAATGTACATTTCTTCCAAAGCTGTAGCCAACAATAACTTTTGCATTCTGAATCCAGCTTAAGCATATTAGTTGAGAAGATGTTTGCAAAAGTATTTAATAAGAAAGTGCTGAATTTAGCTTTTATTTTTTTTCTGTTTTCTTAAGTGGCCTGCAGTCTATCAAATGCACTAAGAAGAACCTCTCCTAAGTGTAAATGACCAAAGGAAATAAAGTTTTCTTCTTATAGAGAGCTGTTTCCATAGATCAGGTAAACTTTTTCTGTAAAGGGCCATATAGTAAATATTTTCAGCTTTACAGGCCATATGGTCTCTGTCACAAATACTCAGCTCTGTCATGTAGCATGAAAGCAGCGACAGGTAACAGATAAATGAGTATGGATGGAGTCCAATAAAACCTCATTTTCAACAACAGGCAGCCAGTCCATGGGACCATGACCATAGTTTGCTGACCTATGCTATAGAGCTTGTTTTTTTTACCTACGACAAATATATTGTTTTAATAAATACCACCAACTTTGAAATATGATGTCTCGGATTTGCTTTAAAATATTTTACAAAAGAAAGGTGGAGAGTAGGTTAAATAAGACTAGTAAAACACAATTATTATTAAGGTTGGATGATGGATGCATGGAGTTCATTATCCTATTCTCTGTAATTTCTTGAGTTTGAAATTAAAAGCTTTTAAAAATGCAAAGTAAATCAATGAACCAGCTCTACAGGAAAATGAATTTCTTCACTTTACTGCAAACCTTCTAAAGCACATTTATTATTTTGAAACATAATTAACATTATGCAACATAAAAAATTCTTAATGTAAAGCAACAAAACTAAAATGAAAAAGCTTATTATATAAAAGTGTATACCAGCATGAACCCTTCACATTTTCCATAATTTAAAACACAGGCTCCCCTCATATAACTCCTAAATTAATATATTAAATTTATTCTCATCTTATCTAACAAAATGTTACTGATTTTTGGTTTAAGAATATAATTATTTTTATAGGGCACATGTTATTTATGTTAACATATAATAGATTTACTATTTTTCAAATAAATTAGAATTTATTCCTCAGTTCTAAACTTTAAGCAGTAAGTATTCATGGATACAACCTACATAAATAAATGCTGTTTAAAGTCTTCAACAACTAAGAATGTAAAAGGATCCTCAAACCAAAATGCTTGAGAACCTAAGATCTAAACGTTCTCAATGTTGTCTAAAGTATGTTTACCAAGTGTATGAACAGCATATGTATTTGAACAATAATCATCACACTGTAAAGTTAATCCACTATGAGGACTATCAATATACACCCACAAGAGGAAGATACTTAAACTGTCAACAGAAACATTCTTTTCAACTTGCCCTGTATGTCATAAATAATGTATCCACAGGAAAAGAAGAGCTCTAATGTGTTGTCCCATTTATGCAGGTAACTGTCTGCTGAAACAGTAATAAAGAAAAACTAATATATGCCAGCAGACATCTCTAATAAATGCGTTATCTCCTGTCAAATCAAGATATGCCATGTCACTCAGTGGAAGAAGCCAGAAATCAAGCTAAATAGAGCCTTAGGAAAGAAATCTTAAAGATTGTGCAATTTCTCAAAAACAACAAATGTGTTTTTTAAATGTTCTAAGTTTTTTCTCAACATTCAGCAATACAGTGATTTCAAATTATATCAAAACTAAAAAGTAATTTAAATTAGGCTCATGGAATTCTTATGGTATTTGTGAAAAACTGAGAACCTCTCTGTGAAAACATCTGAACTATAATCAATCTCAAAATTCTCTAAATCTAAAACTAAAATAGTAATAAACAATCTGTAACACAGATTTGAACAAATAACTACAGCAAAAATATTCATGTGATTGTTCATTCTTTTATAAAGATAAACCAATATTTATTTTTCAAATACAAAGCTGTAGCCAACAATAACTTTTGCATTTTGTATTCTAGCATTTTTAACCACTTTTGCCCCTTTTGCATATGGCTATTTAAACTATTATCAGACTATTTCATTTTTACTTGATTAAGTATACATTTCCAAGTTAAGTTTTAGAAATTTTATAATTTTTGTTGTCTTTTATTAACCTGAATAAACTTAAAATAGTAATGTGTGATGCAGACACATACTTACATCATACTCTGTAACTCTGCTGCAAAGCTTATAGACTTCCCTGTACTTCTTCCACTACTTGAAGTAGCAGTAGACATTGGGCTGGCTGCAGTATTATTCATCTAAATAAAAAAGAAATAAAGCTTACAAAATGTATTTAACTATAAATAAGTGCATGGAAAATGGAAGCAATTATAAATTACTTCAAAAAGAATAGAAAATTTTAAATTTATAATTTGTTCATAAATCTGACTTGTCCATACTTAATGTTCTTTATTAAAATGAAATAGTAAAGAGGGGGCACCTGGGTGGTGCAGTCAGTTAAGCATCCGACTCTTGGTTTCCACTGAAGTCGTGATCTCAGGGTCCTGGGATCAAGCCCCGCCTAGGACTCTGCTCTCAGCATGGGGTCTACTTGGGATTCTCTCTCCATCTCCCTTTGCCCCTCCCCCTACCCACCACACTCACATGCGCCCTCTCTCTCTCAAATAAATCTTTAAAATGAAGCAGAAAAGAGGAAAAAACTTAGTCAAATACGATATCAAAAAAAGTGCTCAATAAATGTTAGCTATTATTTCCTATGTCCATATAAATTTTGCAATATAATTTTCCTTTAAAATGATCTGCAGATTTGAATATATGATACAATAAAGCAGTACTGCAAACTTTAGGTATACTGTAGTAAAGTTTAGGAGAAGTCAGGAGTCAGACTGCCTAGGTTCAAATCCCAGTTCTGCTACTTTACTGGGACTTTGGGCAAATTACTTAACTTCTTTGTGCTTCAGTTCCTTCACCTTTAAAATGGAAATGATAATCCCACATTCTTAGGGTTGTTGTGAACATTCAATGAACTAACATGTACAAAGCATTCAGAACAGCTCTTAGCACACAGTAAGCATACAATGTTAATTATTATTATTGTACACAGACCTTAAGAATTCTCCCTCTATTGATCAGCTAAAAGCTTTTTTATATGACAAATTTAGGTTACTCTTTTTTCACAATCACAAGTCTAAGAAACTTGAATATTTTCACTAAAAGACCTTAACGCACTTCAACAAATATTAAATACTTAGTTTCCTTATAAAATACTTTTTAGTACTGACATCACTACAGCTAGCAGTCATCCTCGCTCAAAATCTGTCAGTCTTTGACTCCTTCTCCTGTACCCTATAATTTGTAAAAAAACAAAACAAAACACAAAAAAACAAATTCTACTTTATGTTCTTACATCCTCCCCATCTTGTTCTACTGTTATGGCCCTCTCTATAAGCACTACTTATAGCTTCTCTCTTTCCATCTCAGTTCATTCTTCACCTTGCTGCGAAATTTATCTTCTTAATACATCCTCTAACCTGACAGCTCCTGTGGGCAATGGAGGCTAAAACTGATATAGGAAACCTGAACCAGGGTTATTCACCAAGCTCTGAGATGGAAGGACTGGGCTCCATGAAGACAACTGGAATAAACAAAACTATATATTTGTTATAATATAACTACTATAAACCACTACTATAAAACACTGCCTGAGATAGGCAATATACGAAGCTTTTGAGAGAAGGCAACAAGACAGAGGTCTAAGATGAGCAGCATGCTAGCTGGCTGACTAGATCTGGAATAATCCCAAATCCTTCTGTGGCAAGGCCAACTATCGCCAATATAAGCCCTGGTCTAGTATGAGATCCCTAAGGGCCAGGCCAAATGAAGGAGCAGAGAAGGAAAAACCTTTTACTCAAATTGAGCCTGAAAACCAAAATTCTAAAACACATAAAGAAGCTAATGCTATGAAAGACCATCGACTTTTTTTAAGCCTCCGTTTTTTTCTACACAGACTTTTAAAATAGGTACTTTTTTCTACAAATAATATAGGAAAAGAAGCATCACCACTAGAACTCAGGTTAAAAAAAAAAAAAATCACATCACCAAATCCAAGATTGGGGAAAGACAGACAGGAACCCAGTGACTTCTAGGAACAGTCCTACAGAATCAGGACAGTGATAAAAAAGGAACCTGGCTCTCTCAAGGACCTTCGAAACGGTTTCCCTTGTCCCACCAGAACACTGGCAAAGATATGATGTCCCAGAGAAAACGTTAAAGTCAAAGTTTATGTATTAACCCCAGCCTCCAAAAACAGTTATGATTTAAGTTGACTCACGTCAGACTAGAAGACGTGCCAGGCTATGGCACGATCCTGTGGCCTAATGTCCCGTGACACACTGCTGGAGCAATGTGCCCCCTTTTTCACTTTGCAAATCCAGTCACCCTGCTTTAACCTCTTTGAAGAGGAGACACTTCCGAAAGTAAATTCTTATTAAAACCACAGCTCTCTTCAGTTGTCCCCCTACTGCAAATGTTTCGTATCAAGAGTATTTATTGGTAAGAGGTAAAAGGTCCCAATCCTACTTTATTATAACCACGATCATCCTTTCACAGTCAACTTATTTAATTTTTAAATCAAACAGGTGAATAACATTTTTCTGACATGATGAGCTGATAGCTCATTAGAATCTTTAAAATAATTATTTCCCATACCGCATTTTGTTTGATTTAGATAATTAACTTCTTTAGACATAACTTCTTTACACATCAAAGTCCTATCAACCCAATGCTCTATTTCCTTTCTCCTAGACATTTAAAAAAAAAAAGTCAGTTAAAAGCAGAAGCACTCAAGTCAATTTTCTCTAATAAATACAGTTAACATGGAACTGAAAACCTACTGTAATCTTCTCAATGGGTTAATGTCCTGCAGTTGTTTTAGTTTTCAATTGAAATGCAGCTGTTTGCCATATTTTACAAAATGAATTCAGATGTGCAGATGGAGACCTAGATTATTTCAACATGCCACAGTTTAAATGTGAACCCAAAGAGTGAGTTCATCTCTGATTAATACTTATATTTACACCTGACTATTAAGTCAAGCGCCAATACTATGTCACACCTCTAAAATCCTATTCCAGAGTAGAAAAAGTGACATCTCTTATTTTAAAACGATGGCATTTAAGGATATACCCTTTCCCTCAGAAAATACTATAACAACAAAAAAATTTTTTTAATTGTAGTAAAGTTATACATTACAAATGTGAATTAAACAAAAACTTAATGAACATGCTACTGGGTTTCTAATTATAGCTCACATTTTTGGTGCTAAATGACCAAAGAAGAAATAACATGAAACACCTTTGGCTTAAAATACCTCAAAGAGTTGAAAACTTTATTACTAGTTATAGAACCATCAAAACAACATAAATATCTGGATTGTGAAATCCATCAGTCTACCCATTTATTAAGACAGTGGAATGTTTTATCATTTCTTTTATTTATTTATTTATTTATTTATTTATTTATTTATTTATTTATTTGACAGAGAGACACACAGCGAGAGAGGGAACACAAGCAGGGGGAGTGGGAGAGGGAGAAGCAGGCTTCCTGCGGAGTGGGGAACCTGATGCGGGGCTCGATCCCAGGACCCTGGGATCATGACCTGAGCCAAAGGCAGACACTTAACGACTGAGCCACTGAGGCACCCAGTTTTATCATTTCTTCTATTACATCACTGCTGAGGAAAATTAATTCAGCAGACCTATGTACGGATTCTGAGCATACACAGTTGCAATTCCAATCACGCATAAGCTGAACATCCTACATCATATAAATTAATAGAAAACTGTTACAATCAGAACATTCTCATTTTCATAGAACTCCAAAGGCAGGAAGCAATTATGGTTAAGCCAACACTATTATACACTGCATTCTGGTTCTGTTGTTTAAAAAAAAACCAAAAAACTCAAGTTACATTATGATGTAAATTTCTCCTGCTGTGAAAAATAATGCCAAATGATCATTCAATCACTGAGAATGTAAAAAATTTAAAAAATTAAGTGTACAAAATGGTAAAACTTCTACACCTAGTATTTGGGATAACACAATGGTAATTCCAATATATTTATATATGCCCCATTTCAAGTGGACTTCAGAAAGTATAAAGCTCAAAAGTCCATACAATTACCTGCTAAAAGAGAAGCAACATACCATGAATAAACCCAAGAACAGATGATTCACATAATTTATAACTGTTTCAAAATCAACAGCAATTTTTCTGAAACTGCTAATTGTATTTTCATAACTAAAAATCATTTGTATTCACTTACCCCATATTAAATGAGTTCAGAACCTAAAATAAGCTGCATCAATCATAGCACTTCTCACACTACAGTGTTAACTATTTCATTGTCCTCGAACTGCTAACTGCTTAATGACAGGACACTGTTTATTCTGTAACTTTAATACCTAATATGCTGCCTACCACTGCTGATTCTCAGTAAATGTTGCGTGAATGATCAAATTACTGTATGGTGTAACAAGGAATACAAAGATAAGAAAGACATATTTATGCCATTTAGTAGCTTATAGCCTCCTGAAGTTAACAGATCAGATAAATTCAATGGAATGAGTTTAGAGATAATGCCCAAGATACTATGAGACAAGAGGAGGAGCTAAGACCCAGTCAATTATTATGGGAAAACTGTCCTGAAATTTAATACTTGTTACAATCTGAAAATAAAGCATATTTAACTGCATTAAACAACAACAACAAAAAACAGGTAAGTGAATAGCACATCTGAACTATCCATAGGCCACTGGGTTACTATAAAATCAAAGTGCAGAAGTGAAAGTATGTTGAAAATTATGAAGCACCATAAAAAGCAATATGATAATAAACATTCTTCCTTACCATTCATTGAGCAATTATTTTTCTTAAAAACTACTGGAACAGGAATAAGTACTTCCTAACCAAAATCACTTTGATTCTAATAAGTATGGATAAGAAGCTACAAATTTTCACAAGGAACACCCAATGATCAAAATGGCAAGTTATTAGCTATACTATAAGTAGAGAATCACCTTTTTAATATAATTATCAAAGGCTTCATATTCATAGACAGAAAAACTCTTCTCTGTAATATATTATACTATTTCCTGGTATATTTTCCCCCACCAAACCTGCTTCCCTGTCCAACATTCCCAGTTCTATTAAGAGCAACACTACTCCTCAGTCACAGAAGTCCAAAAAAATCCAAGGCATTTTTGATTCACCAGCTCCTTTCCTGACGACATCCATGCAATCTGCTCCTGGCATATTTTCTTTTAATAAAGCAATTCTAATGCAATCTCTTCCTTTCCAATCTCACCTTAAACCCATCTCCCACCTTTCTAATTAATTGTGCACCACCATCTCCAGAGTACTCATTCTAAATATTTGTTACTCCTCTACTCAAAGCATCCAAAATTTCTCCTTCACCTGGAGGACAAAACTTGTCTAAAATCAGTCCCACAGGACCTCTGCAGTCTCCTTTCCCATAGCAGTCAAAGCAAATATCCAGTTATCTTCCAAACCATCCCAGGTTCTTCTGAACCTTTAGCCTATAATTCTTCCTACTTACGATACCTTTTGTTTCCTCTCCAAATCCTAGCTGCCTAGAAAAGCCCAACCTAAGCTCAATATCTCCAAGACTTCCCAGACTCATGATCATCAGGAATTCTCCTTTCCCTATCATCTAATGTTTTCATTTACTAATCCTTTTAACATTAAATATTTCAGTGCACACACATTATTTTAGTTTATTAATAAAATAAACTTCCCCAACTGTTGGCAGATGACTGCATCTGTACCTCCTCCTTCACAAAGAAATGAAAAGCCTTTATTTACTAACTCTCTCCACTCAGCTCTACCAAAGCCACTGTACCTTCTCCTGATTCCCTCCTAGGACATTCAAGGCACCTCCTTATTCAAAGCCAATGCACCACCTGTTCATTGGCTTTATCCATTCCTAACTATTTACTGGGCACCTACTACAGGCCAAACACTGTTGTAAGAGCTCGGGATATGGTCGTGACTGAGCTAGACAAAATGATGTTATAATACAGGAAACAAGCATATAAATATAATGCTGGAGATGAGCATATAAATATAATACCAGGTAGTGACAAATGCTATGAAAACAAGTTAAACAAGTTGTTTTCAACCAGGAGGTGACATTTAATAGAAGATCTGAATAAAGCCCAGGAGAGAGCTCTGGAGAACTTCCAGGCAAAAAGAATAGCAAAGTACCAAGATCCTGAGGCCAATGTGGCTCAAGTGAAGAGAACAAAGGGGATAAGCAGTAGAAAATAAGGTCTGATAGGCAGCAAGAGGCCAGATGATATAAAGCCCTCTAGGCCACGGAGGTTAAATTTTAGTTGAATATAATGTGAAACTATTAGAGAATTGTGACAAAGGAAGAGACTTGAAATATTTTAGGTTTTCTTTTAAGATTTATTTATTTTCGAGAGAGAGAGAGAGAGAGAGCGCGTGTGCGCGCGCATGCACAAGCACAGCAGGTGGGCGGGGCACAGGGAGAGAGCCAGAATCCCAAGCTGACTCTTGACTGAGTGCAGAGCCCAACACGGGGCTCAATCTCATGACCCTGAGATCATGACCTGAGCCAAAATCAAGAGTCAGAGGCTCAACCAACTGAGCCATCCAGGCGCTCCTGAAATATTTTAGGTTTTAAAAAGCACAACTCTCACTGCTGTGACATTATACTATGAAGAAGCAAAGGTACAAGCAAGGAGACCAGTGAGAGAGTTACTGAAGTTGTTTAGACAAGGGAGGACAGTGGCCTGAATTAGTGGAACAAGTGGAGATGGTGAGAAGTGATGAGTCTTCTGGAATATATTTTGAAGACAGAGCTGATTGCTAATGAATCGATTAGACATGGGGTATGAAACAAAAGCAGTCCAAGATGACTCTGAAGTTGACATTGAAGTTGGGGCCTGAGCAACAGGTTGGATGGTGTGCCATTTACTGAGATCAGGAAAACTGAAAAGGAAAAAACAAACCAGGAGTTCAGTTTGAGCCCTACTGAGTCTGAGACAACTATTAGACATTCAAGTGGAGATGAAATCCTGTAGAAGTTTTACGACAGATGTTGTAAGGCAGAAAACTGAAATAAGTCATGCTCACAGGGTGTGCTAAGATGGATAATTAATCAATACAGCAGAATCTTAAAACAAGGCCCAACTAATCTCTCAAGTTCAGTTTCCCCATCTGTCAAGAATAATTTCTGCCTCTCTCAGAGGAGTGTTATAAAGACGACAGTGGCTCCCACATACCAGGCATCCAAAAAATCTATCTGAATTGAAAAGAATATCAAAACATCTATAAACTATGAAAATTCCCAATAGGCAGATAGAAACGGTGCATTTACATATCCTAGTTGGCTACAGAAACAACTACTTCTTTTTAACCTACAGACATAGGAGGCCAGTGACAGACTGCTCAGAGACCCGTGAAGTTTTATTATTACGTTTTTCTTCTTCAGTCTCAGATTAATACAGGTTTCTATTTCAAGTGCTTTCATATCCAGTACTCTCTTAGGGAAATACTGAGTTTCAAAAAAAAATTTTATTCTTTGCAAAAATAGGTCTTGAGGAGCACTGCAAATGTGCATACCAAATCATCCTCAAATACCTCACATTCAAACCCTGACAAAATGGCAAGCTTACTTTTCTCATATTAAAACACTTTTTTTACATAAAATATCATACAATTGAGTGACTTAATGGTTAACTTTTCAGATAAAATAAATGCAAAATTTTTTATCCAATTATATTTTTAATAGTATCAGTATTTGACAAGGATGTCAAAAAGGGAGCTCTCTTAAACATCGAGATTCTCTACCACTCTAGATTCACATTCTAGAAATATTTAACCTTATGAGGAGTCTATTTTAAATATAAACAAGTCAATAAACTAGCTGATGTGGTTAAAAACATAGTTCATGTGATTAAAAAGAAAAAGGAATTAAGAGATTTGCTTTTGCCATGTAAAAAAAAGCTGAATTTGTATAAGCATTTCAGAGTTTATAAAGGACTTTCACCTATGTAAGTTCACGTTTGTTCACACTCACCCTACAAAGCATGTCATGATCCCCCTACCAATGAGGAAAGCGAGAGTAAAAAGTGGTTAAAGGTCACAAGTCTAATAAAAATCAGGCTTTGATCCCAGGTAGCTGATAACCTGAAATATTCTGTCCATGTACATACGTATTTTTACAAAAATTCACGAATCTCCCATTTTAGTGCCTTAGTTTTTTTCATTTGTAAACAATGCCTATCTCCTTTAACACACTAAAATAATGTGAAAATACTGAGAAGTTGTACACATAGTAAGTAGTCATTAAGTTATCTTAGAGACTGATGACTTTAAAAGTTCAGGAAGTCTTTGCTTGAAAGTAAATCTGAGGCAGATGGATAAACAATTATAATAGACAAAACTATAACTATACAGATTGGCGGGAGGGGGACCAAAGACATCTGAGGTTCAGAACTACAGTTTAAAAAAAACTAATTTCATCCAAATCCCTCATTTTTCAGGTGAGGAAACTGAAGTCCAGAGGGGTTTCTTGAACTGCCCAAGGACACATCACTATTTAGTGATACAGCTGGGACTAAAACTGAGGTCCCCTGACTTCTGGTCCAGAGTTCTTTCTACTATCCCACAAGGAACACACAAATAAAAGTTGATCATAATTAACTCACAAGACCTCCACAATGTGTTTGTCATAGTGAACTTTGTTGTGAAATATCTGCCTATGCCAACTCACAGTTTAGCGTTAATAGCTGGGCTCTGGAGTTCAAATACAGGCTCAAACACTTACCATGTGACCTTGGGCAAGTCACATCACCTCCCTGCCTCAATTCCCTCATTTTTAAAATGCAGGTTAAAAGTGTACTCCTCTTGTAGATTACATGAAGGAATATATATATAAAGCACTCAGGACAGTGCCGGTACGTAGAAAGCACTCAGTTCATTATCATGATGATGATAAAGAAGAAGAAAAAGAAAGAAGAATCCAAGCAAAATTACAGTTTCTTAAAAACATATCACACAGTATTATCACTAAACATCTATATTCTCAAAGAAGGAATGTTATGATTAGGAGTAGTCCTTTAAAGATCTAGAAGCAAATAATATGAAAGAAGTGAAATACACAATCTTCAGTCATAAGACCTCTATAGCATTTAAAACAACAAGAGTACACTTCAAGATTTTAAAATAATTTATATTTGTATAGTATTTCGCATTTATAAAGTACACTCACATAAATTCTTTCAATTTACTGCCCTATGAATTTAATGATCAATCATTTTTTCCAGCAGCTACTACATACCATATGCCAGATAGCATGCTATTTTCATATTCATTGCCTTATTTAACCTTCAATATCCACTATCAGCCAGATATTATCAGAGGCAGTAGTATAACACGAAAAAACTGACATAACCATTCCAGAAAGTAACAGCCTCATCAGTATCACCTATTAAGTGGGAATGACATGTGTGGATAAACAAATGAGATACAGCATTTTGCACAGTAGATGGAATACATCAAATGTCCATTAAAATGCTGGGTCTCCCTTAGCTGTAATACGTAGTTGTTTTGTGCAGAAAATATATCACAGGCACCTGGGTGGCTTAGTCGGTTAAGCATCCACTCTTGGTTTCAGCTCAGGTCATGATCTCAGGGTCCTGGGATTGAGTCGGGTTACGTGCTCATTGTGGAGCCTGCTTAGGATTCTCTCTTCCTCTGCCCCACCCCCACTAAAATAAATAAATCGTGGGGAAAAAAAAAAGAAAATATATTGCAACCAGATCAGTAAAGCACCAATACCATGATTTACAGTATTGTTAAAGAGAGCAACCTCAGGTAGTGCCTATAATACCCTATACTGTTTTACAAATAAAAATACACAACAATTTTTGCAGATTTAAGGTCAGTCTTTACTAGGGATAGTAGGTTGACAAGCTGAGACAAAACTAATTAAATAATAAAATGTCTGTAAAGCAAGACAATTTGTTTAATTCTCTTCTGAAGTCTTCAACAATCCTGTGAGAAGGCTAAGATGAGTTGAGATACTTATTCCATTTTACAGAAGAAGAAATCGAGGCTCAGAGAGGTTAAATAACTGAAGTCACAAAGACAGAATATGGTACAGAAGGACGAACCTGAGGTTTTCAGAATTAGTTTTAAGTACTTATTGCACCTATCCACAATGTATCTCAGAACGTCAATATCTCTTCCAGATCCTTTATCCAATAAACTTAAGGGGTGCCTGGGTGGCTCAATTGGTTAAGCAACTACCTTCGGCTCAGGTCATGATCCCAGAGTCCTGGAATCGAGCCCGCATCGGGCTCCCTGCTCGGCGGGGAGCCTGCTTCTCCCCCTCCCTCTGCCTGCCACTCCCCCTGCTTGTGCTCTCCCTCTTTCTCAAATAAATAAATAAAATCTTTAAAAAAATTAATAAACTTAAGGCTAAAACAGCTAATATTTATTGAGCACTTACTTCTTATGTGCTTTGCTGTACGCAATGCATCACATGGATTACCTCCTTTAATCCTCAGCAGAGTAAGGACTCAAACCAAGTGTGTTTGACTCCCAATAAAACATTTTACCTACCACAGTATAAATTACTACAATAATGCATTTGGCTGAAGTATTTTTCTTTACTATTTAAGTGAACTATAAGCAAAATCCTTCTTGAACATTCTAAATGCATAATAAACAGATTTCTGACCTACTTCACTAGTCAACTTCACCATAAAATAAAATGGGTATTATTTTCAACAAGAATACTCAGTCTTCTGATTTGATTGACATGGTCTGACTTTCTTTGCAGCCTCCTATACCAAAAAATCATTTATGTAGAAAAAAACAAAAATCAACCTGCCCAAGATTTCCATTCAATATAAGGAGAGAAGCAAAAATTTGTAATTACAAGTGGCTTAAATGGACAGGTCACTTGCTGGCCTTATTCCAGATATCTTATCTATTATTTAAGCACACAAGCAATAATTCTCTCAATACTTTAGTACTTTTGTGAGACTGCAATATGGTTAATCCTCCTAAAATTACACATTACAAATTTCAACAAGAATAAAAGTAGGGTGATATTTTTATGTGGTACCAACTGGGACATTTTTTATATGAAAGGGGCTCTATTAATAATTATGCCAGGACAAACAGGCCCTAAACAATGACTGTCGCAGAGAAGATGGGGTATACAATCATCCTATATAAGAGCAACCCATTTTGATTTGTATGTTATAGGCTATTCTCTGTATATGCTTAATCCATGAGCTTTAAGTTTTTGGCCCAGATCTAGCGAGTATCTTCAGCCTTGAGATCAAGGACACCATTTTACAGACACTAGGCCAGAGTTAAGGGTGCTATCTATAAAAAAAGGTTTTTTTATGTTTTATTCTCAAACTTAACTTTATAGACATCTGCTTTAAAAAAAGGGAAAAAAAGATCTACATATATCAAAGAAAGAAATCTTACAAACATCACCAAGTTTCAGACTATCTCTTCAAAAGTTCTGAATACCAATAACCACAAAACTATTTCTAAAATGGCCCAATGTGGGGCACCTGGGTGGCTCAGACAGTTAAATGTCGGCCTTCCACTCAGGTCGGGATCTCAGGGTCCTGGAATCAAGCCCCATATCAGGCTCCCTGCTCAGTGGGGAGACTGCTTCCCCTGTCCCTCTGCTCCTCCCCCCACTTAGAACTCTCTCTCAAGTAAAATCTTTAAAAAATAAAATAAAATGGCCCAATGGTCAAAGGTTACTACTAGAAACTATCAATTTGCTTTACTATACAAAAGTTATAAAACAAAAAACACCACCTTTCAAATGGAAAAAAACTTCAGGAACAAAAAAGCTGAAAAGTTTTCACTAAACCTAACCAAAATGATAAAAGACAGTGAAAATCCATGGCCACAATATGGTACAATAATGATTAAAGGAAATGCCAGATAGTATTGCTATGGCTCTCCAGATGAATCTGGCATTAGCTGTACAACCTAAGGAGTAAAAAGAATGATTTGCTTTAATCTGTCAAGCTGTAAATAAGTACTAACAGACCCATGCTTTGAACTATAGTATTTGAGCAAAAGGCATTATTTGAATATAATTATGATTCCCTAAGGCAATAAAAGTTCCAAGAGTTGTCTTCTTTGACTTAAAACTCAACCAAATCAAGAATTGGAAGGGATCTCAAAGTCTAAATTCTAAGCTTAGGCTGTCCAATAAGGCAGCAACCAGCTGCTTGTGGTTATTTATATTTAAATTAATTAAAACAAAATTTAAAATTAAGTTCCTCAGTGCACTAGCCATATTTCAAGTGCTCAAGAGCCACCTGAGGCCAGTGCATACCATATTAGTACAGCACAGATTACAGAATATTTCCATCATGGCAGAAAGTTCTACAGTATTGGACATTGCTGCTCTAGGCTTTGGCTGCTCTAGATCTTTGCTTAAATATTCCCAGAGATAAGAAATTTGCAATAATGAAGTGCATTCTCTTTTTGCAAAGTACCATCAAAAAACTGTTCTGATAGTCAGTCAAATCCTGTCTCTCTGAAACATCCACCAGAAATTCCAGGAGTTCCGCCCTCAATTTGGTCTTCAAGTAAATCACTGCACGGTTCACTCAATTCCATTTCCAAAGTTCTGACTCCTAACATAGGCTAAAACCCTAGGTCCTTTCCACCCAGATAAATACATACTAATTTCTTTCAAACGAAACAGTTTAAAGTTTGTATCAGCCTCACGAAGGTATGCTAATTTATCCACGTGTACATTAACAACACATGTCAGTGTCGCCTCTGAGTGTCAGATATCACATTCCACTATTCCTATAAATCTACTCTCGCTTATAGGACATTCAAGCGTCTTGATTTTTAATTTAGAAAACAGGGTCACAGTCATTCTGAATTTCTTAAAACAGAGACTAAAATGAATTACACTTAACATGTAATTGATCAGTGCCTGGTGCTAAACTAGGCTATTACTACCCCCATCTACAGACCGGAACACCCAGCCAAAAGCAGGCTAAATAATTTCCCCAGGGGTCACAAATGTGGGCACAGCCCACAGAGAACAGAGTGGAGCTTTTCGTTTTCCTGGATGCTACACGTTTCCTAACGCTACCTAACGCTTCTTCCACCCTGCCCATAAAGCAATTTCCTTCCGTAAAGATTCTTCCCAGCAAAACACTAGCTACAGGACGCGCGAAAGGTACCTAACACACCCCAGCCACGCCAGCTCCCGCTGGCCTGCCCAGCTCCCCTTGCCCCACGCCCACCCGCCGACGGGGAGGAGTCAAGAGCCAGCTCCACGCTCGGCGGGAGGACCGGCTGCCGAGCCCGGCCAGCGCCTCACACGACCGTCCTCCCTTCAACCCTTAAGCGCAAACGCCCATTCCTCCCACGCGGCAGCCCTCGGGCAGGGGCCAGGGTGGGACCGGGGCCCAAAGACGCGGGGCTCGCCACGCGCCGTCCCTCCCGGTTCGCAGACCTCTCCCCGCCCGCCCCGCACCGCCCCCCGCACCCCCTACAACCTCTGATTTAAAGAACACTTGTAGGCACGGCGGCACGTCCCGCGTGGAGAATGTGGGGAGAGATGGTGCGGTTTCTGCTGCAGCGGCCCGGGACACGCTTGGAAAGGGGCGGGGTGGAGGGCTGAGAGTGTAGAAAGGGAGAAGGTGGCTCGGCCCGGGCAGAGGTGGGGGGGCACAAAATGGCGTGAGCCCGACTCTCCGTGGGGCGGGGGCTACGGAGCCGGAGGAGGGAGCGCTGCAGACGCCCCCACCACTGGCTGCGCGGGCACTGGCGCATGCGCGCTCGGCCAGGTGGCCGTGGTCTCCTTTCCCGAGCAAGCCACTTCCGCCACGCTCGCCGGGGGCGGGGCGTCGTGGAGCGCACCCGCCTCCTCTTTCCTTGCGGCCGGTAACCCTGATCCGGGCGGCGGGCCTCAAAGGAGGCCCTGCCGGGAGGGCAGTGCAGTTGAGCTGAGAATCCAAGGGTGTTCGAGGGCCAGGCCGTTCTATTTAAGAATGGAGCTGACAGGGCAAGGGTTTTCGAGCGGTTGGGTGACTTACACTGGAAGTTTCTTTTCAGCTTCAGGGCAGAGATTGTCCTGTGTAAGCTTCTGTCTAGGAACTGGGGTGAATCGGAGTCTTAACCGGATTGTGCTTTTAGGATGGGGAAGGGAAACGGAGAGCCCCAAAAGACCTGCTCCCCCAAGGGACCGCAGTGCCGGGGTGTTCCTGGGACCGTGAGACTCCCAGCTCTTCTGCAAGCTCCCGAACACCACCACTCCCCACCCTGCCTCTGCAGCAAAGTCATTGGAGAGGCGGTGCGAGATGATGATGGTCCACCGTGAATACCCCTCACTCCCATCGCCAGACTCATTTTACCAAATTCAGGCATTTAAGGACCGCGTTTTTATAATGGAAATCATTTCCTATATCACGGGGTGGTTTGTTGTTGTTTTTGGATGATCCTATTTTTATTTTTCCTTAGGATTTTGGCCTGTTCCTAATTTTTAAATCTTGTACCCCCACTATTGAGCTGCCTGTCCTGTGCTCTCAATTTGAGTGCTATAGATGTAGTTCTTTAATACAATAGTCAATTACTTCAGTATATGAAGTCTTGTTATATATATTTTTAACATTGTTTTCAGCTGTTTAGGAAAGAAAACTGAGTTATCATCCATGCTTACGTCCACTCCTGTGACGTCAAATATTATAAAGTATTTCACAGAAATTCAACTACGAACCTTCATCATGTCTTTTAAAGCATTATAGCTTCAGTTATTTTCTTGCCTATGAATATTTGTGTTCTGACATAATCTTTTCTTCCTAATTGCTTCCGTTTTTAAAAATAGCAACTTATGGGCGCCTGGGTGGCTCAGTCGGTTAAGCGACTGCCTTCGGCTCAGGTCATGATCCTGGAGTCCTGGGATCGAGTCCCGCATCGGGCTCCCTGCTCAGCGGGGAGTCTGCCTCTCCCTCTGACCCTCCTCCCTCTCGTGCTCTCTGTCTCTCATTCTCTCTCGCAAATAAATAAATAAAATCTTTAAAAAATAAAATAAAATAGCAACTTATTTGAATATTTCCTCTGGGTCATAGTCGAGTCTGCTGTTAATTTTGTGCTTAGTTCTCTTTAATCTCCCCAACACTTCACAATTTGCCAAATACTTAAAGTTCCAACATAATAAATATATTTAGGATGTAAAAATCTCATCATAATGTGTAAATCAGGGCTTAATGCAATGCTGGGCCAAGTGTAAAGAATACGGAAGGGAAAGTAACAGAATTGTCATCATTTCTTACAAAAGAAAACCAATTTATACAGTAGTTGAAAAGCCCTTTCAAGTATGTTACCAAGAAAATAATTAGGAGAAAATGAAGACAAAAACTGATATTACATCTAAGGAAATATAACACGAAGCAGATCGTTTCAATTAAAATTACATTCAGTTAATGTTGCCATAGTACTTGCATGGGAGTTTTACCTGCATCACGTGGAGGCCAGATTTGACCTAACTTTTCAGAATAGAACCCAGATCTTCTTACTCTCAGGCTACTGGTGTCTAACCTACATATAATCACACACAACAGGAGTTAATGAAAGTGAGCCATGGAGAACGGAAACTGAATTAAACCAGGCACTGGTAGAAGGAACTCAAAAATTCACTCTTAGGAAATTGCGAATTGTGCTGTTGGCAGAGATCTTAGCTTTGAAGTCACATGAGTTATCCTAGTGTTCCTACCTCCTGGAATCTATTAAAATCCATTTTAAAAATTTGATTTAGCCATAATTTTGTTTGTAGTTTGAGAGCACTGCTGTACACAAAGGGTCAAAATATCTTCCATTCGGTTAATATCAAGTATCCTAAACTATCAAGGCTACCAGGGTACCTTAATTAAAACAAAGTTAAAACAATGAAGCTGTTGCTGAAATTAAGACATTCACGACTACCATCTCTCAGAAAAATACATGATTTCCAAAGCATGTGGAGAAAACGCCAGGAGACCAACTGAATGCATCACACCACAAAAATGTCTCTGTCCCTTAAACAGAGCTGTTAAAGGAAAATGAAGCATTGTTACCATAGACTTTCACATTCCTCTGGCATAATAACCTTCATATAGTCACTAGTGCAAAAAAAAAAAAAGTGCAGTCATCTAAGTAAACATGCCTCTTGGCATCCTAAAAATGATTAGGTTAGGTAATGAAAGAAACCCTAATTCTCCAGATAGCAGAAGCTATGCCTAATATGGAAACATCTCTATGATGAAGTGGTCTCTTCTCCTCATGTGGACTCATAAGTTCACTGCAGGTGACCTGCAAATTCTTTTTCTTTTGTGATCCATGTGACTCTTATTTATTAGGATGCCTGAAAGAAGCTCTTTCTTTTCTCACTTATCAATTATTTTGTTCTTTGCTCTCTCTGTCTTAGATTTCCAAGTAGTGGCTTATAAAGTCACCATGGAAATAAACTGCGTAGAACTGCATATTGTTTAGAACTGCAGATTGCAATTGTTGTGATATTCAATTAATTTTCTGATATTAAAAGCTTTTTTCAATTCCAGCTTGCTTTACATTTAGAACAAGTTGTTCTGACCAAAAAGATTACTCAGTTCTGTGGTACCTGGGCAAGCTGCTTAGCACTGTTGGGCCTCCGTTTTCATTTCTGTAAAATAAGGTGATCAAACCAAATGAACGAAAACCTTGCAGCCCTAAAATTCTATGCTCCTTTAAAATGGGAATGACCAGCACCTGGGTGGCTCAGTAGTTAAGCATCTGCCTCTGGCTCAGGTTGTGATCCCTGCAGGGTCCTGGGATGGAGCTTCGCATCGGGCTCCCTGCCCAGCGGGAAGCCTGCTTCTCCCTCTCCCACTCCCCCTGCTTGTGTTCCCTCTCTAGCTGTGTCTCTCTCTGTCAAATAAATAAATAAAATCTTAAAAAATAAAAAAATTAAAAATTAAAATAAAATAAAATAGGAATGACCAAGGATGGAGGTTAAAGTGGTACAAAATAATTTCAGCATTCAATGTATTTGTGCTACCCAAAGGTACAGAATATTCAAGGCTCTCGTTGTAGGCTGACATGGATATTCAACTGCTACTGTGTGCTTAAAAAAAAAGACCAACATGAAAAACATACACGAATCAAATCTATTGAAATACAGGAGGGGGGTGTATCACATAATTATTCAAGGTGTAATCAAAGTGGCTTCCATACCTTCCAAATTACGTTCATAGATTTCAAATTAAGAAGAGCACTACAGTGATGAGAGAAGAAATGTTAATAATTCTGAGCAGCTTGTAGAACTGTAATCATGATCCATTCTCTTAGGAACCTCTCATTGCAGATTTAACACTCCAGGATCTTTTAAAATTAGTCCCTGGCTACTGAGAAAATGATCATGTTTTGAGATTTAGAACGGGAAAGGAATCATACACTATCAGGGTTTCAAAAAGCCCCTGAACTCTCTAGACATATGGAAACTTAGCTGCTTTCATTCCCATGGAATCCAATATATAATTCTCTTGTTCTGGAAACAAACAACTTCTACATTTCTCCCCTTGAAGATAAGGTCTATTCACTGAGTGTAAGTGATGGGTGCTTATTAGTTCACTCATTCAACAAATAATTATTGTAGGCCTACCATGTGCCTGACATTATTCTAGGAGCTGCAGATATAGCAGTGAACAAAACAGACAAAAATCTCTGCCATTATCAAACATAGTAGGAGTAGTTGAACAATAAATTAAATATACCTAAATAAAATAATGTGTTAGAAAGCCATGGGTGTAACAGAACAGGGGGCAGAATTTATACAACAGGGAAGGGATAAGGAATGAGAAAAGCATAGGAGGAATGAGAGAATTGTTCATTTTTAAATTGGGCAAGCAGGGTAGGCCTCACTGAGAAAGTGACATTTGAATAATGACTTGATGAAGGTGAAGGAGGTAGCTGCAAATATTTAAAGAAAGAGATATCAGCAGATAGCTCCAGAGACTGAGAATAACCCACACTAAGGCCCTGAATTGGGAACAAACCTACTAAGTTGTAGGAATGGCCAGAGGTCATTTTCCCTGAAAAAAAAAAATGACCCAGGAAAAAAAAGAAAGAAAGAAAAAAGAAATAGTATAATGTGAGGTCACAGAGGTACTAGGAGGCCAGATGGTAGAAGCCTATGTGCCTAGGACAGGCAGGCTGTTAGTAGAGGACTGACATGATGTAGTTTAGGTTTTAAAATAATTACTCTGGCTGCCAGGTTAAACATAGTCTGTGGAGTACAGGTCTTATTGCAGTAACCCAGGCAAGAGGTGCGGGTAGCTAGCACTAGGATTATTACGGTAGACTCCATAAGACATGGTTAAATTCTCGATATAATTTCAAAATCAATATGATTTCCTGACAAATTGGATTGGGGGTTCTAGAGAAAGAGAGGCGTAAAGGATGACTGAAGTGTTCTGGGAAACTGGAAAAATGAATTTGACATAATTGAAATGGGAAAAAGTGGGGATGGATATGTTGGGTAGGTGTAAGAGATCAAGAATTCACTTTTAGGCATAAATAAGTAATTAAGTACAATGTTTGTATTATCTATTGTTTTGCCATCATAAGTAAATTCTTATGGAAATGAAAAAAAGTTTGTACCTGTAAACTTCTCTAATAATTATTTAATTGATTTCTAATCCTGCTCACATTATAGAGGCCCATATAGGCCTGTATGACATAAGTCAAGGAATATCTGACTTTTGTTTTAAGAACATGTGAAGCCAGCTCAACATCCTCTTGTTAAAC